GAGGGGGAGGACCCTTCCCCCAAGAAACACCAAGCACTATGCATTCAGGAGGGTCACTAACCATCAGGCCAGACGTCCTCTTCTAAGACTCCTAAGATGCCACCAGTGCCCCCGCATCAATGAGCTTTCCTCCATGCCCAATCATGGAGCTCGTGTAAACCAGGGGCCGACGGCCAGCGCAGGAAGGGTCTGCTTACCAGCCCCTCGGTCTCCTCCGTCGTTCTCTGGAAATGCGCAGCCATGGCCATGTAGTCGCGTATCTGCCTGTGACACTCGAGACACTTGATCCCGTGCCGGATGAGCCTCACGGGGTCCGGGTAGAGCGGCAGAGCCGGAAGGGCCGGGCCCGCACCGCCCGGAGCCGGGCCGTGTTTGGGGGAAGCGGGGGCGGCGGGGGCGGCGGGGGCGGCCGGGGCCGGGGAGTTCGCGGGGGCGGCCGCGAACATCTGGTCCACAGAGATGGGCTTCACGAGCAGCTGGGAGCACTGCATGACGAGCCCCTTGCTCTTGTGGTCGCGGGCGTGCCGGAGCAGGCTGCACTTGTTGAAGAAGAGAAGCGTCTGGGAGCACAGCGTGCACAGCACCTCGATGTGGACGCTCCGCCGGCCGTAGTGCTGGCTCAGGCTCTTCTCTAAGGCAAACGCGTCCCCACACTCCAGGCAGCAGTACCCGCTGGCCGGCACGTGGATCCTGCTGTCCGCGGGCGGGCTGAGATTGGGCGCGTAGAGGGGCACGGGGTTGGAGCTGTGGAGGACCTTGTTGAAGACCTCCACGGCCAGCGGGGCGGCCTTCTTCACCTGGTGGACCAGGGGCACGGACATCTGGGTGAGCTGCGGCTGGCTCCGCCGCTGCGCGGAGGACTTGGCCGTGACTGACGCGGCGACGCTGTGGGGGACCAGGTTCAGGTTGGCCAGGTGCACGGCCTTGGGCAGGAGGCTGGCGGGGGCCGGCGCGGACGCCTGAGGCGCCGCGCTCTGCTGCTGCTTCCTGCCCGTCTGCGGGCCGGGGGCAGCCCCCTTTGGGGCCCGAGACCCGGAGCTGCAGCAGGAAGACGAAGATTCGCTGGCCTTCGGCGCGCTCTCGTCCCCCTTCTTGTCACCCTGGGGGCTCCCGGCGTTTGCGCCCGCCTCAGGAGAGCGCTCCACCGCGGGCAAGGCCGTGACCTCATCCTCTGGCGCCTCGCTCGGGGCCTCGGCAACGGCACTCCCTAGAGGGGACCCAACGGGGGACTTACTGGGATCGTCAGGGTCCGGCAGGATCCTCGTGACGGTCCGTTTGATTTCCCCCGATGACGTCTTAATGGTTTTGATCCTGACTTTGGGAATTGCTGGTGGGGAGCTGGCAGCCACCGAAGGGGAGCCTTTGCTGCTGCTGTCACTGCAGATGCTCCGAGGGCTGTCCGAGGGCTTGATACTCTTTCTAGTGGCCTCCAGGGGGCTCCGGGGACTCTTTGGTGACTTGGGCATTTTGGGGCTGCCTTTGGAGCCCTCTTTAGTGGGCCCTGAGGGTTCCTTTGTGTGGCCAGGCTGATCCTCCTTGGTGACACTGGCCACTCTTTTGGCCTGCAGGGCCACCAAGGCTGCGACACAAGAGGACAGCTTGGAATGAGCTGGCTTCAGACGCTGCCTAGGGGGGACTGACGAGCAGGTGCCGAGCTCCAGGGCAAGCCCCTTAGGCTCTCCAATACTGTTGCTGGGGTGGCTGTTGAATTCCAAAGCTTCCCCAAAGAATCGACTGGCATCCAGCTCCTTGTGAGGCTCCCCCACCTTCTGCCCACCTCGCTCGTGTTCCTGCTGACTCCCCAAGGGCAGAGGTTCTGGCTTGGGCTCTTTCTTACAAAAGTGATCAAACATATGCAGCTCTGGGACCGGAAACTTTGCCAGAGCCTCCAGGACTGGGCCCCCCACAGGCCCACACCCAGGAGGGGGTGGAAAATAACCGTCAGAGTGCTTGGGCTTCATTCCAAACCCATTATCTTTGATGGCATCCTCAGGTTCTGGGCTGGAGATTGGACTGAACTGGTTAAAGGTCGGTAATGGCTCTGACTTGGAAGGTTCTAGCTTGCCGGGGAAACTCCTGGCACTGTCTCCATTCATGAAAGTTGAATCAAATTTCCCACAGTTGTGACCCAGGTTGTGGGGATCTGGAGGCAGGTCTGAGCCCCGGAATCCATTGTGGAGGAGGCTGGGAGCGATGTGGTCCTTCTCCGCTTCGAACGACTCCTGGCGGCTGGTGTTCTTGACGATGACACTCACGGCCGGCACATCTGAGGCAGATCCTGAGTGAGACAAGGACACGCTCTCATCCATACACATGCCTGCGGGTTTGAGAGGACTCTCATTGTCCTCACTGGGGGTCTGGATGGCCTCCTTGGCATCAAGGCTGGTGGGGTCTGGGATGTCAAAGGCAGCCAGAAGGTCATCAAAATCTGGAGTTTTCATATCCCCCATGGCTGGATGCTGGCAGGGGCTACAACAGAAGCAGAACAGGATCAGTGATCCCCGGGGTCCCCCTGGACTCTGTTCGGCATCATCTTCATCACACGCCCATCACACTAACACACACGCACACAGCCGGGGTGCACGCTCGTGAACCTCAGGCTGAGTTTTACCCCAACAGGTTTCCAAAATGCTGGGGACATTGGGGGACGGATGGAAAGAGAAGTTTACACGCAGTGACAAGGCCACCTGGCCGGCCCTAAACATCAATACCTGGAAATTCCTAGCTGGTTGCATAGCCAAAAGGAGAAAGCACTCGTATCGCGCCCCCTCAATTTCTCAGGGACCAGCATGACTCCCTAAGCACGTGCGCTAGTAAAAACCCAATCACCGAGACCTAAAAACAAACTAAAACAAAAAACAAGAAAACAAAGGTATGGCTCAGCGCCTCCTTTCTTCAGAAATCTTCCGATTCATATATGAGACTTGGCAAGGACTTCTGCTAATTTGCCTCCTACTATTTAATCATGAATTTTGTATAGCTTTGTGTTTTTTGTTGCACGAATTCAGTCAAATCTAAGATGATTTGCTACTGCCAGGATGTATGCTGTCTCATAAATAAACTCCAGCAAATTGTATCACCTCTCAGGCCCTTTTTTCTCTAGTTAGTGTCTGCTTGCCGTAATTTTCACCTAAAACTGTTATTGGCTGGTAAGTGGACCACTAAATGTGAGGTGCAGGATGACTCTCAAAACAGCAACCACATGGTCATCAGATGAGCTGGAGAACGGTCTTGGGGAAGCCCCAAATTTCATTTTAACTTAATACTCAAAGACAAGAAGATCCACCTGTCTCCTTCATGCTCTGGAAAAGGAGAACTATGGCACTGCTGTGACAGGAAACCCGGGGCCCTAGGAAAGAGGCCCTCTGTCAGGACATCACTGTGACACTCACACTCAGATGAAACAGAAGCTAGCTGGTTCCCACCTGCTGGAAAGAGGAAGGAAAACCCCACCGTCTCCCTTGTTCAGCCCACAACTCCCGCGTCTGCTTCGGCATCCCAGAGCCTCGCTTGCCTGCACATTTCTTACACGTTTATACTGAAAACCTGTCTGGATGAAGAAAGACATGACTCTTAGCAAGCAGGAGAGTAGCTGCACAGAACCAGTTACGTGACAAATCCTCGGGTCCAGGGACCCCAAGGCCCATGTTCTTATCCTAACAACAAAAATTCCCAAAAGCTGTATATGGAAATATGCAGTATGATTAAAACAACACAAAAGGGACAAACACGCACACAAGAATCTAAATGTCCGAGAACAGAAAATGATTAAATCATTGACAGACTACTATGGCAGCCAATAAAAATCCTAATTATGAAATTCATATAGGGGCCCCTGGGTGGCGCAGTCGGTTAAGCGTCCGACTTCAGCCAGGTCACGATCTCGCGGTCCGTGAGTTCGAGCCCCGCGTCGGGCTCTGGGCTGATGGCTCGGAGCCTGGAGCCTGTTTCCGATTCTGTGTCTCCCTCTCTCTCTGCCCCTCCCCCGTTCATGCTCTGTCTCTCTCTGTCCCAAAAATAAATAAATGTTGAAAAAAAAAATTTAAAAAAAAAAAAGAAATTCATATAGCAACATGGAAAACTAGTAATAGTGTTGGAGCCCCTGTTTGGCTCAGTCAGTGGAGAGTGCAACTCTTGATCTCAGAGTTGTGAGTTCAAGCTCCATGGTGGGTGTAGAGATTACTTAAAAAGAAAAAATCTTAAAAAAAATTACTTGGGGCGCCTGGGTGGCGCAGTCGGTTAAGCGTCCGACTTCAGCCAGGTCACAATCTCGCGGTCCGTGAGTTCGAGCCCCGCGTCAGGCTCTGGGCTGATGGCTCAGAGCCTGGAGCCTGTTTCCGATTCTGTGTCTCCCTCTCTCTCTGCTCCTCCCCCGTTCATGCTCTGTCTCTCTCTGTCCCAAAAATAAATAAACGTTGAAAAAAAAAAATTTAAAAAAAAAAAAAATTACTTGGGGCACCTAGGTGGCTCGGTCAGTTCTAAGTGTCCAGCTCTTGATTTTGGCTCAGATCATGATCTCGCAGTTCATGAGTTCAAGCCCCACAATGGGCTCTGCGCTCACAGCAAGGAGCCTGCTTGGAATTCTCTCTCTCCCCTCTCTCTGCCTCTCTCTCCCTCCCTCCCTCCCCCAACTCTCTCTCAAAATAGATAAATATACTTTTAAAAAATTACTTACAGTGTTGTTAAAAAATTAATAGAAAATGCTATTAATACAAATTTAAAGTTAAGCTAAAAACTTAATACAAAAGTGCTGCTAGACTATAGCCATGTAAAACTAAGTATGCAGTTGAGCCAAGATTAAAAGAAAGAGAAAAATAATTTGTAGGGTGGTGGGATTACTGGCGGGTTATTTTTTCAAAACTCTTTTTTGTGCTGATAGATTGCTTTTATAATTTTAAAAGTGGGATATAAACAGGGCAGCGGGTGACGGGGGGGGGGGGGGGGAGAATACTTAGAACCATGAGGGAGCAGGTGGCATAGCACAGGTGTATCTGTTCCCACCTCCTGGGACCCACAGGTTCGCAGCTTTGGTCTCTTGCCCCTCCCCCAACCCCCAACAAAACATATCTGCCTACTTGAGAGTTCTTGCAGAAAATGAAAAATACCTTCCGCTCTGGGAATATATCTAATTATGGTAGATAATAATAAAGTGAAATACCAATTATCTACACTAAATATGGGTTGGCAGAATATCTCTTTGAAATGTGATATAAAGTTCCTGGACACAAACGACTGTCTCCTGGAAATAGGAGCCCATAAGCAAGGGGAACGGACTGGGTACTGTGCAAAGCACTGGCACCCCAATACCAAGTCACCCACTATGCAGGATGGTGCTAACTGTAAGGAAACACCTCTGTAATGTCTGTGTGCGTTTATTTCCTTCCCCCTCCCCCTCCCACCCCCACTTTTTACAGTCTAGAGGGGGAAAAAAAAAAAAAAAAAAAGAGATGGAAGGAGAAGGGCAGAATAGACCAGTCTTTTTACGGAGCTGAGACCAGCACATGAGGGAGGAAAGGAAGTGGTTGGTGGTGTGTGTGAGGATAACGTGAGGTCACAGGAGCTTAAAGCAGAGAGAGATTACATCAGAAGAAAGCCAGGTCCTCCACATCGGGGAATCTCAGAGACAGGCTGAGATCGGTCAGGGGGAAGGTGAGGTAACTTTTGCAGGGAAATGGGGTGGCTGCTCGACAGTAGAAGCAGGAAAAACCTTTATAACCTCTGGACCTTAAACACCAAAGCTGACACTTTTAAAAGCCAAAGATCAAGTCCTGTTTTCTATTTACTTGTAGTAGGGAAACCAAAACCAGCAGCAATCAGTAACGGTGAATAAGGGTTACCTGTTTCCACTTCTCTAAACCTTGCTCTAAAGTAAGCATCACATTGCTTATAAGTAGAATATAGAAACTAATCAAAATGTAACCTATTATAAAAGCAAAGGAAGAAAAAGACTACCAACAAAAAGTTCTACTCGTCAAAAACCTGCCAGCACAAGGTTCAAAGACAAACAACAAACCAGCAGGAATATGTGCAACACAACAGTTACCATCATTAATGTCTTTACTACCGAAAAGGCTCTTACGAAGCAGTAAGAGATAAGCAGCCCACTTAGAAAATGAGCAAAGGTGGCGAGCACATAATGAAGAAAAACACAAGTGGACAGCTATTCCATAAAAAAAAGCTGCTACCTCCCAAGAAATTAGAGGAATACAAATTAAAATAATGAGAAGCCATTTTGGCTTACCAAATTGACCCAAGTTTTAAAAAATAATAATTCCCAATATTGGCAGAGATGTAGCAAAAGAGGCATTTTGAAGGAAGTATAAATTGATACAATTTGTCTTAGCAGCAAGTTAGCGATGCCTACATACGGCTCAATAGTTCCACTCCCAGGGGCGCCTGGGTGGCTCAGATGAGTGTCCGACTTCGGCTCAGGTCATTATCTCGCGGTTTGTGAGTTCGAGCCCCGCGTCGGGCCTGGAGCCTGGAGCCTGCTTCAGATTCTGTGTCTCCCTCTCTCTGCCCCTCCCCTGCTCATGCTCTGTCTCTCTCTCTCTCTCTCTGTCAAAAATAAATATTTTTAAAAATTAAAAAAAAAATAGTTCTACTCCCAGAAATGTGACATTTGCATGTCGCAAAGATAATCATTGCAGAATTTTTTATAACAAAAGTATTTCTTTTTTTTTAAATTTTTTTTTTCCAACGTTTTTATTTATTTTTGGGACAGAGAGAGACAGAGCATGAACGGGGGAGGGGCAGAGAGAGAGGGAGACACAGAATCGGAAACAGGCTCCAGGCTCCGAGCCATCGGCCCAGAGCCTGACGCGGGGCTCGAACTCACGGACTGCGAGATCGTGACCTGGCTGAAGCCGGACGCTTAACCAACTGCGCCACCCAGGCGCCCCATGACAAATGTATTTCATGACAAAAAATGAGACACAACCAAAGTTCCAACAATAGAAAGCTGGTTCAATAAATTATGGTATATTAACACAATTAAATACTAGACATCATAAGACAATATTTATGTCTATGAGAAATGCTCCTGATACAACGTGGAGGCAGGAGGACGCTGTAGTGTATACATGGTACAATCTCTACTTAAAACAAAAAATTTTAACGTACAGTTTTTATGAAAAGGGCTAGAGAAACACTCTAAAATCTTAAAAGTATCTCAATAGATGATGAGATTCTTTTCTTTCGTTTATCTGCATTTTCAAATTATTTATTCAAACTATTTCATGTTGTACTGCTTATGTAGTTTCATTAAATTATATTTTTTAATATAAAAAGAAGAAAAGGGACACCTGGGTGGCTCAGTAGGCTGACCGCCCAGCTCTTGACTTCGTCTCAGGTCATGATCCCAGGGTCGTGGGACTGAGCCCCGTGTGGGGCTCTGCGCTGAGTGTGGGGCCTGTTTGAGATTCCCTCTCCCTCCCTCTCCCCACTCACA